GCACTGCGATCAGCGAATTGTCAAAATAAAACGGTTTGGTTGAATAGCATCAAGCGAAATGATTCAAAGTCAAAGTTTTATTATGGAAATAGCTTACACGCTGGTGCTTCTCTTGTCCCATAGGATATTTACCCAGTTGAATCGTTACACATCGAAGAAGGAGTCGCATGGAGATCCGGGTAGGAGATAGAGAATGTAGGCTACAGTGAATTTCCGTTTTTCTTGTGTGTGCGAATGTGAGGTGTGCCAAGGTTTCGTCGAGTCTCTTCCTGAAAGATTTAATAGTGGGTGCTCAAACGACATCAGATAGAAGGGTGTTCCAAGATTTGCATACTCTTACTGCAAAAGACTGTCGCCGGCAATCCAATCGAGACTTCGGAATCAGTAGTAGGTGTACATTGTTCGATGACATGAGAAGCGATCGACACGGATGGTTTGGGTTCTACAGTATTTGGTACGTCAAAATCAAGTCTCCTCGGGTTCGGCGGTACTGAGCAGAATATAGTCTCAGTGATCGCAATCTGTCCTCGTATGTCAGGTAATGGAATCCCTTGACCATCTTGGTGGCCATCCTTTGTGGACACTCAAGCATCTTGCGATCACGTTGAAGCCAAAGGGGTCTTTATTCGTCTTCCTGTTTCTGTCATCGCAATAGCTACGGATATAAATAGCTAGCGTTAACGTGAATTGATTTAAAAGCCTCACTCTTTTTGTTTGAACGAGGCCCCAGATCTCGTGCCTGACTAAACAGGTTTTCGACTTGTACCTCACAATCCACAAACTTATTCGTGCTTCTGGTTGGAAAACGGAACTTTGGGCCTAATGATCGAACCCCGATCTGCCTCTGATTTAGACTCAAACTAGATAGTTTGTGAACGTACCTCTCAGGTTGATTGCGAAAACTGTATTGCGATATATGTTTGTCTCATGCCTCTCTCAAGCAGAATAATCTCTTCTCTTTTTTGATTGAACTATAATGTGCACACAGTTGTGATATTCTTTTTGCAAGTCCTCATGTAAACAATCCGCAAAATGTTAGTGTTGTGATATAGTCCGTTCATAATCTGTCACCACAAGTCGAATAGCGTCACATTCAATAAAGGCATGAGATCATAATGTCTTACCAATTGGATTAATTTCGGTGTTGACGCAAAATTCTCCAGTAATGGCGAGGGAGCCAGTTCTGTTTAATACAGTCATGGATGAAGTCATTACAAGTGTTTCCCTCATCAAGTCGCGTGGAAAATCAACACACTGATTAGGCCTTTTCAACACGTTGGGCTCTAAGGAACGCGTCAAATTTCCTAATATGCCCATACTCGCGTTAAGAACACAATTTCAGGGGAACAACTGTTTTCAATAACTCATACTCATACCGTTACACTATATGAGAGGATAAAACTTACGGGGCTAAAAGGATAACATTAAAATGTGATAAATCGATCACTTTGTACATGCATCTGTGCGTTACACCCTACAGTCTCAGTTGTGTGCTACTGGGATTTTCAGTTTTGAACAGGCAAGTCAGAAGGCAAACATCACGAGAGGAATTCCTTTCGTATACTCTCATCGGTCGCGTACGTAGAACATCGA